GAGAGGGTTATTTATATTGTTTGTTGTATCATACTGCTTATTCGAACTCATCACAATAATTGTTTTGTTTTGTTTGCCCTCAGGTCGTATCAAGCGACCACGTGATGAAGAGGTGGGCGGAGAAGGAGAAGACACGGACATGCCTAAGCGGCGAAGAGGGGAGGGACCGCGGATCGAGCTACGCATTCTCATGCAGAGCAAGGTAAGTCATGTGACTTTAAAAAAAAAATCCCACTTGCTGTGATTGCTGTTCCTCTGCAGATCTGTTTGTCCTTCTCCTGACCCCGCGTTTCCCACGGCTTTGTTGGCTTTCGTGGCTTTGGCGTGAAAGGTACACGTGTACTATGGCGCTTATTTTTGTCCTTGGAGATGTCAGACATGCATTGTCCTAGTCCTATCAGGGGTAATTAATAGTTGGTGTAAGAATATGTCCTGTAATGGGGCGTAGCGTCGTGTTTTGGGTGGGAATTGCCATTTGTTCCGTACATATGAGGGCACCTCTTCCTGTTTCCCTAAAATAGTCTTTACAAGCTGTTGTCAAAAGCTACGACTTCAATTTAAAAGAAGATGCGTCAGCTGTACTTATATTATGGTCTAATGTTTTAAAAGATGCAATAGTTGGTGGTTGGAGGGTGCTCTGGTGTGGTTTGCTTCTTCTTTCCTATCTAACATCTATCGTCCGTATCTCCCCTTCATGTTTTTTTATGTTTGTTACTCTCTTGTGACAGCTCTAATCTTCTGGTGCTCATATGACCTTGTGCAGTTACGAGCGCCGTAAAACCTCTACTAAAACTAAAACACCTCTCCTCTTTCTTTCTTTGTGTTTGTTACTCTTGTGTAACGCCTGTAATCATTGGCACTCACATGACCAAATGGCATTGCAAGTGCTGTAAAACTCCTACTAAATCTAAATTTATCTCCTCTTTTTGAACATTCTCATACTCTTAATCCATTTGACTTGTATTGTTTCGGCAAGACTAACACTGGTCAGCAAGTGGTTGGATGGCGCTACCTTTTTCATTCTCTTTCCCCGTGTTTTTTCTGTCTGTTTGCTTTGCTTTTACCTTGCACTGCATGACCGTTGTTGTTTTTCTTTCACACAAAACCAGCCTGAATTGGATCGTCGTCTTTGTTTGGTTAGTTCTTGAAAGTGGCACGTGTCACGTTTCCTGATCGTGACTTGACGGACGTTTCATCATGGCTGGGCGTCTGTCGACGATGGCTAAGTGCTTATCGTTCAACTTGAAGACATTAGTTAGTTACCCGGAAAACACTCAATGATGATAATAATAATAATA